ACTACTGATGGACACGTGGATTTTTTTCCTCCAGGTGTTTTTATTGCATTTCTTTGGATTTTTTTTTAAAAACCAGTAAGCATGTACCGTAATTTTCGGACTATAAGCCGCACCTGAATATAAGCCGCAGCAGCGGCATACCACTCTCGGTTCCACTTTTACTTTTGCGCGCTACCTGTCTCACTCTTTTCCGGCCTCCAGCTTTTCCTGCTGGAACCCGCCGCTTAAAGGTGGGGGTCCGCGGACCGGCCATAGAGCTCATAGAGTTAAAGGTGTTGGCCGTTAGCTGTAAAAATCCATAGATTAGCCGCACCGTTATATAAGGCGCAGCGTCGAAAAATAGGGAAAAAGGCGCGGCTTATAGTCCGAAAATTACGGTAGTCTCTTCTCTGTAACTCCTCTCAGTGCCTTTGGTTGCTGGTGGATAATCTTGCAAATAGATCTGAAGAGTAACTCTTGACTTTCCATATTGGAGAATTTATTGACCCCTGTAAAACACTCTTAATAGAAAAGAGACAAACGAATAATGTCAGAACTGGAAAAGGCTTTCAGCGGCGCCCGTTTGAAAAGATGTATGCACTGGAACACTTTTTCAACCTTCACAAACCACTCCAGTGTCAACGAGATGGAAGAGAAGTCGTTCCAGAGGACATGCATGGAATAATAATAATAATAAGAACTATTTCTGAGTTTGTAATGGGATTTATAGAAATGGAATATATATGATTTTCTACAGCATTTACTCTATCAGAGTAAATGTACAATCTGTTACTCAGGTTATTTTGACCTGATAAGTTAAATGTGGTGATTTAACAGTCAAAGGTCATTGTTATGTTTAGAAACATCTGTATCCACTTTAGGGATGTGAGGTCATGTGACTACACATTTTTATATTGTCATTTGTGTTACTTTGAACACCCATGTTTCTTCCTTTTATTGAACAAAAGGATATGTTACAGTATGTCAATTAAGACACGATTAAATGCTAATCTCATACTAGTTAGTTTATGATATACCGTACAGCCAGCAGACAGAAAATGCATACAAAGTGAAATAAGCTACACGTTCCTCTCCTCATGCCAAAGCATTTATTTTATTACTAGAATTATGGGTTTTGCACTGTTGAATGTATTAAGAACACAAAGGGTTGAAATCAAAATGTTATTATCAGTGATTATGGTTGTAATGTGAACATATTATTTGTTATATATGTGTTTTTGTTTATGTTTTGTTTTTTTACATTAAAGACTTTGAATTTGATTTGAACAGCACTTTGTTTTCTAACCACCAGAGGGCAGCATTATATTTTTGTATATCCCCTAATGCTGAGGGATAACATATATTCTTGAGGTGCTTTAAGAATAACCATATTTGTTGTGAATGAATAATTTTTGATACATAAGCTATTAAAAGGGGAAAGTAACTTAGAAAACAAGCTAATTGAATTAAAGATGTTTTCACTTAAATATATAAATTCAAGACGTTGCACACTCGAACAGACTTAATCTCATCAGGGTTCGGGAGGGTTACTTTTAAACGTATTTCTGTAACAACTTCTATGTTTCCGTTACTTGTAGATGACCTCGAAATGAAATCTAATGCAAAAAAAACACAGGACAAAATGAAATCATAAATCATACACAGTATTCTTGTTAAAAAAAGAGGTGTCCAACTGCGTTCACAAAATGAAGACATGTCATTGTGTTTTGTTGTCCTCCCCAGCTGTTTCTTGTCAGTTTGATAAGTCCTGTGAGTATTTATGCCCTTGTGTTCTCTGTCAGATTGTCATCAATGTTTCCCCGGTGTGATTGGTTTGTTATTTTCCTGGTTTGCTGTCTCCTTCTGATTCTAGATTTCCCTCCCGGTTCACAACTCCACCCCTCAAAGACTGTTTACTATTTAAACATACTTATGGCTATTTTACTAATATATATTTAGACTGTAAGTATAAATATGCACATTGACATTGAATTTTATCTCGTTGCACTGTCATCGCTACTACCTCTGCTTTTACCACTCTTATTTATTTATTGTGTCTATTTTTTTACTGCAGTGAGAGTTGCCAAAGAAATGTCGTTGTACTTTGTATGATGACAATAAAGTTATATTCTATTCTATATTCTAACCCTGTTCCCCAAGTCTTCCCCGGTTAGTTCCTCGTTTAATTTTGCGTTTTTCTGCCTTACCTGCTTGACTTATATTCCTGTTTCAAACCTGCCTCCCTGTTATGTTTACTGCATGTAGGTCCAACCTGCTCCACAACCCATCGTGACAATGTGGAAGAAAAAAGAAGAATGAAAGAAGCCTGAATGAAAAACTAAATTCAGGTACGCCTACCTATTTCAAATGGATTACAAATCTAGCGACATTTACAAAGCATTTAATTGTGAATGCCTTTTCAAATTAGATGTGGACTCCTCGGATGGACTTCTACAGCTGGAAGGCACAGCTTACATCGAACGGTAATGTTGTTTACCTTTTTTCTTAACCTGTTAAGCCCTGAGCCTGTTTTTCAGGTCTCAGGCTCGAAAATGACATTCCCAGAACAAATGACCATATCTTCCCTTCTAAAAGGGTTAAATTAATTATCTTTTTTCTCAAAGCAAGGTTACACCTGTGAGTTGGATGTAGAATTATCAGAATCAATATAGATGTTTTTTATTTTAAAGTGAATTCAGATTGAACACAGTAAAAAAATGTAAATTATTGTGTCCATCCAAAAAACAAAAATTACTTATAGTGAAAACTAACCTTGAATGATGGGATGGTAGACTAAAAGCTTTAGGAATCCAAACTACAACATATAATAAGTACCTTGTATCAAGATTGATGCAAAAGAAGTGAAATTTGACCTTTTTAGAGAGATTTAGCAAAAAAAACACTTCTGGGGATTTGACCTATCTCTGGCCCCCCTTGCTCGATTTTGCTGATTGACATCTCTTTCTAACCGTCAGAGCCAATGGAATCGAGGGGAACTCCCACATACTCCTTATTTGGTCATGTGTGTGTGTGAGACTGCCGCATAGCCAAGACTGGAAGCTGCAATAACTCTGGTGGCTACCATTAGCAGCTAACTTTTACTCTCCGATTTTTACATAAAAATTGAATTATGGATTATAAATTAAAAAGATATTACCCAGAAACATTATCAACCTATGGATTAACCGATTCAGCTGCGTTTTTTCTCGTTTTAATGCCATTGAACAAGTCTTTTGATCAGATTGACAGCTACGGTGAGACGATCTCCCGTAAAAGCTNAGATCTTGGGGGAGGGAATTCCAGATCCTGGGAGCTGCCACTGAAAAGACTGTCCCCAAAGCTGCCTAGTTTGGAGACTTGGGGGGGACAGGAGACCGGCTGAGGTGGATCCGAGGGACCGCTGGGGTTGGTAGGAGATGAGAAGACCAGTGAGATAGGGGGGTCGGATGGTGGAGGGCTATACTATAGGTGAGGGCCAGTATTTTGTAGGTGATGCGTTGGGAGACGGGAAGCCAATGAAGGTCTTTGAGGACAGGGGTGATGTGGTGCCATGATCTGGTGTGTGTGAGGAGTCGGGCGGCTACATTTTTTACAATTTGGAGTCTATCGAGGGAGGGGGAGCGGATGCCGTAGAGAAGGAAGAGAGGGTTGGTTCTTTGCATCAATATGTTCAAAACGTTTTTTTTTTCAAATGTAAAGAAAATGTCTAANATTTTATCAGCGCTAACAGTAGGTCAGTGCCGCAATACTCGTGGTGCAAGTTTCTACCCAATGAGCATTGGGAGTTGCAGAGTCCAGTCTTGCACAGCAGGACCACTACCCATGCTGAGCTGCAGGGGGTTTGAACCTGTTGACCCCTGTCGCCCTACACCTCTCACTCTAGCAACAAACCCACACGCCACACGCCCTACACTTACTGTATCAGAGTTAGTGCAGTGGTTATAGGTGACACTCATGTTCATTTGAGCGTAACAAACCGAGACCAGGGACATTTATTACACTCAATGCACGTACATACCAGGCAGCCAACAGGATACCTAACCAAACTGATCACCTGTTGCAATGTGTTAATCCAAAATAACTGGAATTAACTGGTCAGAACTTTCTTGTAAAAAGATGCATTTTTCGTACATTTTCTGTTCTCCTTTTCTTATTGTGCCTGTTTGTATCTTTTATTATAATCAAACTTCGTAACTCCATAATCCAATAATGGATTATCTGCCGATTTATGTTTTTACAATTATTCGGGCTCATTGTTTGGTCAACGTAAATGTCAGAAACGTTCAATGCTCATTTTTCCATCCCCAACGCTTCCCAGATCCAAGCGTGAATGAAGTCCGGCTGCATCTCGTTTAAATCTTACTTTATCTTTATCCAGCAACAAAGGGTTAGGAATTTAGTCTGGCCTTCACCACCTGCATATGTGTTTCTTTCTCAATAAACAACAGGACCCAAGTAACTTCCCCATGTTTGGCTTGTGTGTTTGTCTCTTGGTTTATATACACTTGCAATTGACAATGCTTTTGTACCCTCTAAAAGTTCAGATTTCACTAATGATATGTTAGTGGGGAAAAATCAGTCCATTGGCATATCGAGAGGACGTGTTCCAGACATACATAAAACCTCTGCATTTATTAGAAGGCGGAATTATTATCACACGTTTCCATTTAGACAACAAAGCTTATGTTTTTCCTTTGCGATACAACGCCATTGAGAGAAAGATGTTGTTGACATGTCGAAGATGTCATTATTTCTCGACTGTACAGTTTATATACACTTTGTATATGGGGTGGACTGTGAGCAGATGTGTTCGGTGGGGGAGAAGATGATGCTGGCAGCAGGGAGGAGTTTGTTTGTGTGTGCAGCTGACGTAGGGGACAAGAAGCAGGGCATACTGGTGAGTACACCCATGTCGAGAGAGAGAAAGACATCGTGAATGTCTTGTCTGTCAAATCATTTCCCTGACCATTG